CTAACACTTTATTTTGATGCTCCCGAACACACATTCTCCTGACTGTAAGTAACTGCAAGTACGTGTCAACTTATTCTACTAACCCTAACAGTCTACTAATACTCTAATGAGAGTTAGTTGACAAGTAGTTGCAAATTAAGAAGAGTTAGTTGACATGTAGCTGCACTAAGTTACTTATAGTTAGTGGAATGTCTAAAGTGGACAAAATAAAGTTTACCTATTTGTTTACTAATGAGCATATTGTTGAACAGATGAGCTGTTAACAAGGACTATTTTGTAGGAGTCTTTGGCTATCTGACGTTTGGGAAGAACGTAACTCCTGATATACTGATGTCGTACAGTGGGGGTGATGTGGCCATGATCATTGCCAGGCTGCTGTTTGGAATCTCAATCATCACCATCTACCCCATCATTGTCTTGCTTGGAAGGTATGCAGCAAACTGTGTCTTATGGCTATTAGGAGAATAGTTTCTTGCACATACAGTATATAGATTAATTGACACGTCTGTAGATCTGTGATTCAGGATCCGCTGCTGCGGCGACGACACAAACACACAGCAGTGACAGGGTCTTGTGAGAGCCGGACGCGTGTTGCCTTGACCACAGCCTGGGTCACAATCACTCTTCTCATCGCAGTGTTTGTTCCAGACATTAGCAAAGTGATCGGTGTTGTCGGAGGAGTCAGTGCTTTCTTCATCTTTATATTTCCAGGTAATTGTGCGTGTCTTCTGTTGATATATTTTACAAGGCCACATGATGTGTGTTGAAATGAATACTTAGTTCATGTATATGTCATAATTTATTAACTGAAAAATGAATACTGACATTTGTAAAGGGGATCATGTATTTTTATATTTGCATTCTGATTTATAAAAAACGAATTCTCGTTATATGATGATATATATGGTTTCAGCTTGGTTCTCACAACACAATGTCTGCATTTTAATATAATGTGAATCTTTTATTTGTAGCATGATGTGTATTTATATAATTTTGTATTATTTTTATTGAAGGACTTTGCCTAAGATCATGTATTTTTATATTTGCGTTCTGATTTATAAAAAACTTATTCTCGTTATATGATGATATATATGGTTTCAGCTTGGTTCTCACAACACAATGTCTGCATTTTAATATAATGTGAATCTTTTATTTGTAGCATGATGTGTATTTATATAATTTTGTATTATTTTTATTGAAGGACTTTGCCTAATATTTGTGGTGCAGTCAGAGTCAATTTCTCTTACAATGAGGTGAGTGAAGTGGGGCATAAATATTGTAGTTCTTTAGTATCCTGTATGTTTAATGGAATTCATGCTTATTCTATTACATGTACAATAACCTTTTGTTTTTGTGCATTTTCCTCCAGATATCTTCTGATCACGTGGGGAATGATCACACTTTTCTGTGGTACCTATATTTTTGGCCAGAGCACTTCTGTTGCGATCATGCAACTCCTAAATTAAATTTAACACCATGACTTTTGTTTGTATGGTTTGGCATAATTTTATACATTGCATGTATGGAATAATTCCTTAAAAATGGAGATTGTTGTACAAATGTACAATCAGCTTTGTGTGAAATACCTCAGACAATCATGTCATGTAAATCTGAACTATTTATATATTGTCACGCAATGTTCTGCCATTTTAATGGCAAATTTCATGTTGAGATAGATGTGAGCTTTGCTATAATTACAGGGATAGTTCACCCAAAAATGAAAATTCTGTAATTTACTCACCCTCATGTCATTCCAAACCCATAAGACCTTCGTTCATCTTCAGAACACAAATTCATTTTTTTTTTGGATGAAATCTGAGAGTTTTCTGACCCTGCATAGACAGCAACACAACTGACACGTTCAAGGCCCAGAAACATAGTAAGGATCATTAAACATCACTAAAATAGTCCACGTGACATCTGTGGTTCAAACATATTGTTATGAAGCTATGAGAATACTTTTTGTGCGCAAAGAAAACAAAAATAACTTTATTCAACAATTTCTTCTCTTCCGTGTCAGTCTTCAACTCGCGTTCACAAGAGTACCATGCACCACAAAAGTATCCTCGTAGCTTCATAAAATTAAGGTTGAACCACTGACGTCACATGGGCTATTTTAATTATGTCCTTACTAACTTTCTGGGCCTTGAACGTGGTAGTTGCGTTGCTGTCTATGCAGGGTCAGAAAGCTCTCGGATTTCATCAAAAATATCTTAATTTGTGTTCTGAAGATGAACGTAGGTCTTACGGGTTTGGACCGACGTGAGGGTGAGTAATGTTCATTTTTGGGTGAACTATGCCTTTATATTTAGACTATTCTTTAGATTTCATTGGAAACACTTTTGTACACTTAAGCAAATTTGTAAATTAATAAATACATTTTTATATAAATTGTCTTAGAATAATTGAATGTGACAATGTAAAAATATTCATCTAAATTCATTTTGACACCCAATGACTGAAAAAAAAAATGCTGTAAATGCAATGACAGATCCTTTTTCAGTACTTTATTGAATAGCAGCACTCTACATAATCTAGAATTTTAACAAATTTCAGACGAATATAATACTTTGCATCCCTGCAATAAATCTCTACACTCACTTATAAGAGAGAAAGCCAGTATACGGAAACATACATGGGTATAAGAAGTAGTATTTCATCAAACTGCCATTAAAAGTGACTGCTCATATAGTAAGGTTTATTCATTTCATATATATAGAGTTTTGCTTTGTTCCGTTCCTGGAGTAATATAAAAGAAAGTAAGAAATGCACAAAATCCATTTAAAGTAGCATAGCTAAATTCTACGGCAAATAATTTACTAGACATTCATTTGTAACATGCACTCACTGTGAGGGATAAACAAACCAAACAGAAGGCAGGATTGGTGGGAAAGCAAACGGAAAGGAACGCTGCAGTTTGGGCCGTGTTGGTTTTGAGTTGTTTACACATTGAGCCAACCAGAAATTCACACAAATACAACAGCCTTTGAGTTACTGATCAACAAATGTGAGATGTGAAAGTCTGACCTACTTTGAAAAATCCTTTTTGCTTGTGCTGAGAAATGACATGATTTTATGCCAAATGTTCAATTATAGAGAAGCAATAAAACTGATGGAATAATAATTTAATGCCACCCTCTAACTCTACGCACTCTTTCTAGATCCATATATTATCTTTCAAAAATGATCAACATAAAATATTCAATATAATTTTGTTATTACTCAGGATATTCTCTCCTCTCTATCAGCGAATCTCATTTACATAAGCATTTCATCTATACTTCAGGTACATTGTGCTTTTGGACCAGATGTTTATTTGGTGTGTTGTAAATGTAGGCCCTTTGACTGGCAGAATGCGTCATGCTCATGTATTGACAAAAGTACCAGTCTCTCTACATGGCTCAGTGCGTTACACAAATGTGTCATGAAGATAGAGTTCAAAGCACTTATAACACCAACCTATAGCTAGTATCAAATGACCATTACAGAAATGCTATTGTCCATGGACGGCTGTAGAAATACTTTGCTGCACAGTTTTTGTCTTCTCAGAAGTTGTACAACAGGGAACTGTTTGCAAAGCAGCGGATGCATGTTTGAATGGGGATGAAATATTAATCAGCCTCATTTAGTTAGAAGAGACTGTTTATGTAAGTTGATATTTCAAATGCTAATGTGAATCAACCAGGTGAGGGTCCCAAACGCTCTGGGGACTTTTAATGTCGTTTCTGTATGTTGCATGGAGGGTGAAGAGGGAAACGATACTGTGTCTGGTGTCTGCAGCCGACACTACATTTGGCTCAATATCAAATGGATACTGTGTAAACAAGTAATTACAAAAGAGGAGGAGACAGAGTGGGGAGAGCGCAGAGAGAAAGGGGGGTAGTTAAGATAGCAGGGACTGTGACAGAGGGATAGAGAGGGAGGAAGAGGAGAAGAAGAGAAGGTTTTCAGGCATAAGGCGGGAACGTTCCACCCGCAGACCGGCTCGCTTCTCAGTCCCTGTTCAAGCTGCACCAGGCGGCTAGAAAGAGAGAGTCAGTGTCATTATTACAGAGAAACAAGAGTTTCCAACAGATGTTTAATGCCTCAGCTTTCTGTCTAAGTTTATACAAATATGTCAACCAACATTAGACAAATTGTTTCTGTTGTGGTTATGCAAAACGGCACCACAAGGCTGTTGACATCACTTCACATCCAAAGAGTGAATAAGATGAAGTGTTTTCATTATGCCATGGAGTATCGGAATGTGTGATGGAGAATCAAAGCAAGTCTTTTACTAAAAAAAAGGGGGAAAAAAATCAGCCGTTTTGCTCGTATTGTAATAGGCAATGCTGAACAGATGAAATACATACAAATTCAAGTAATTATTAATATAGATTATTGCAACTGAGCTATTGAGATTTATTGCAATATTCATTACTTTTATTATTAAATTAAGAGAATCTTCAATATGTGATATTTTGAACAGTTTTAGTTTTTGAACAGCTTCTTCTAAAATGTTATAAATTAAATATATAATTATAAATAATATAAAAAAAAACATATATTCGGTTACATTTTTTGGAACTATACAGCCCACTCCTATGTTTTAATTATACACACACACATATATATCTATATCTATATATATTTATGAATTTGTTTTCATTTTATGTATCTATCTAGCCATCTATCTATCTATCTATCTATCTATAGAGAGAAAGAGAGAGATGGTGTTATAGGCCACTCCTATTTACAACTATGCAGGATAATTACATTGTATATTTTGCACAAGCTGTCTCCTGACATACAGCTAAAATAAGCTTGAGAGAGTTTGAACTTCAAAAGGTATTAATGCAGAGAATGTCAGAGGACGGGCATGCTGAAAATGAGAGTAATCCTGTAGGGCAGGTAGGAATACATAATGGCTGTGAAACGTAAGGACATCACCCAGCAGACTACATTAAACACAGAAAAGTAGCATCAAAGGCTGGTTTGGCACCAATGCCCAAAAGCAGCCCCTACGGTTGGCAGCAGTGGAACGCACCAGGCACAGCGACAGCAGACACAGCCTCGGGCTGGCACAGAGTATCCACTTTCACATGCTGGAAAGCCTTGCAAGCTGCAGTCTGAACGTGCCTGAGAGAGAAGCAGAGAAGGTTAGAAAAGGAGCAAAAAAAAATTTCCTATATACAAAACGCATTTTGTGCTTGAACGAAAATGAACCGAACTTCAAAGTAAAAGTTTGTTTTCATGTTTTGTCTCAAGATAATTCAGGTGCTAATAGCAATCAAGATGAGCAGAGTTTAGAGAAATAAACCATGAGTCACGCAGAACAATAATTATCCAATGTTCTGTATGACCCTCCACTTGATGGCAGTACCTCCTCACAATTCCTGCTCTGCTTTTTTATTGCCTAAAGGGCTGCCGCTGTAGCAATGATTAGCATTAGCTCAATAAATCAACAGAAGTTTAAACATCAGCCAGTTCAGACAATGCTCACACGCTCCTCAAACTTTCATTAGAGGCAGCAAAACTGCAGCTAGTAGCTTTTTTAGTGCTTTCTGGATGGGGAAATGATTCAAGCTTTACTTAATCTTAGGTCGCCTACATGTTAGAGAACCTGCCAGGTCATGTCTCCAGCAGCTGTAGCTGCTTAAAGTCAATGCTAATTGTTTTTGCTATCCATTTTACATCTGTAATTTGATGTATTTTAAGATAGAAACAAGATATTCAATAAGAACAAATATAGGACAAGAATTATTTGGATGGTGAAAAGTGGGCGTTACATACCAGAATGCAGACTAAATGTGAGCTATTTGACTTTAATTAACATTACCATTGCTCCAATGAATCTTTCACAGAATGTGCATTAAGACAGTAAATAGGTTCAATTTTGATTTCATTTTGACTTTAGTAACTGTACAGGTGTGTTATTGTTGTATTGCAAGCCAGTCAGTGGCTTGGTGTTATTGAGTTATAAGAGTTTATTTAAATGAGTGGTTGTAAAAAATTAAACAGAATTTCAATCACTGTTCAACTGACTTCAGCATCCTCAAAAAAAGGAAACTCTAAATATTTCACAAACAGAACATGATAATAGAGTAATAGAGAGGAGGAAAGTTGAAAGGAAGAAGGCAGATAAAAGGGAGGCTACAGAGATGACAGTTCAGCAGCAATTGGGTCTTTGCAGAAGCTTGCAGATGTTCTCACTGATCAATTATTCACTAGTCTGATGTGAATCATGACGGCAGTACAAAATTCTGCCCTCTCTCAGAGAACAGACTCAGGGAGCTTCCTTGAGAAACACAACAAAGGACCTATTTTAACTCACTGCTCTTACATTAATATTTCATCCTGTGGGGCTGAAATGGATGCTCTCAGTCGTGGCCTGACCAAAAATTTTAAAAATGAAGTAACTACCGTTTAAAAGTTTGGGGTCAGTAAGACTTGTTTTATTGTTTTTGAAAAAGGTCTGTGATGGCAAAGCTGATTTTGTGCTCAATTAACATTTCTGTGAATCACTGTTGAAAACGTTTGTGCTGCTTAGTGTTTTTTTGTGGAAACGGAAACATTTTTCCCCCCCCCTGGATTCTCAGGATTCAATGTATAAGCCTTTACTGGCGCTTTTGATCAGTTTATTGCATACTTGCTGAAAAATTAAAGTATTAATTTCTTAAAAATAAAATAAAATAAATCTTACTGACCCCTTTTGGTAGCTTATCTAGGTTTAACCAGGGAACACAACTGGATAACCTACTGATTTTAAAACATTTCAGGACTACATTTTCATCTTTTAGGGCTTTGTAAACACTGTGTATTAATTCTGCAGAAAAAACAGCAATTGTTTAGCCAGTTTCATCATTAATTCATGAACTAGAACAACAACACTCCCCTCTGCTCGCCTGCCATCTTTATCTACAGGAGGCAAAACGATACAGTGTCGTTTTTCAATACATCAGGGATAAATACACAATGTTGAGACATGCATTTATGAGAGATGCACAGGTTCATTCACTAAGAAATGCATAGCGGTATAGTTTTTGCTACCCTGCAACAGACATTTTGACATATATGAAATATTTTCTCTCTCTTTTGAATTCTGATTTATTTTTTATTGTAAAGCACTTTGGATCGACTACGGTTGTGTTAAACTTGTGCTCTGTAAATAAAATTAGCCTTGCCTTATATACAGTAGAACATACATATACCATTTCCTCAGCAGACTGAAAACTGAAAACACTTCAGTCTGACATCCCAAAAAAGCACAGAATACTTGTGTACCATCATACTGACTTGCATGGTTGAATTTAATATGATGCATTGAGACATAAGGAGGGAATTTAAAAAAATAATCACTAGAAGGTCAAGCTTAAGACAAACACATGAACTCAACTCACTGGAAACAGTCTCTCTGAGCAGACACATTCTTCAGGTATTGTTTCAGGGCCTCGCAGAAGTCCCCCAGCTGCTTCTGGGAAACTTTCATCTCCTGGCGGATCAGGTAGAGAGACTGAAGAAAGGGAAAGAGAGTGATAGAGACAGAGACAAAGGGGCAGATTAGTTTCCAATAGTCTGGATACATAATGAAAACTGTGAGTCTGTGGGGATAACAGCAATGTCTTGTGATTAAAATGCATGCAAAGTTTATGGACACTTTGAATATTATTAACATTTGTCTTGATGTTAGTATTCACTTAATATTCTCTTTAGGCTAAATAAATAAATAAAACCAGACATATTTATAGACTCGAATCACAGTGCAAGGGTTCAAGAAATCATAAGTTATGAACACTTAAGTCTAACTCTGTTTAACAAAAGCAAGGAAAAACTGCCTTAAAAGCTTTGACCCTCATTTAATAAGAGTCATGGTCTATATTGCAGCTGAAGGGTTATGCAATATCTACATATGGTTATTCCTTTAGGAGAATGAGAAATAAATATGATATATACCAGACTGTAAAATCAATACAGCTACTCTTTTGAATTGTCGCCTAAGTAACTAATTAATTCCCAGTGTAATCTAAAATATGTAGAATTGTGGGAGTGTGGTTGGCTACCAAATAAAGTACAGTACTGGCTTTAAAACTGGCCTTTGCAACAAACAGAGAAGAGAAAAAAAACCTCATAACATTTCCAGAAGGATCTAGAACTTAACGGAAATGAAACTGAACCGCTTCTGACTTGTCTATTTCATAGAATTGCACCTCTCGTGTAACATGTCACTCAGGCCTCCCACTTCTTTCTAAATTGGTGCTGTCATCTTGAACCAATTTTTTTTAAGTCTGAGAGATTTGATTAAATAACTGATATTACCCTGCAACAGACTAAGAAATGATAGGTTTAAATGCAATAATTGCTTGGCAGACTATTTCCACCCTGAGGAGCCTGACGCACTGATTAACATCTGGATTTATATGCTGAAATGAAAATCATAAAAGTTTAAGATGCCTATACACAAGTCATTTCAACCTAAAGTAATATCCTCTGAAGTGTTTATAATACACCACAGTTCAAACTTTTGGGGTCAGAAGGAAAGAAAGAAATACTTTTATTTAATAAGTATTTATTGAATTAATCAAAAGTGACTGTAAAAACATTTGTGTTACAAAAGATTTCAATTTAAAATAAATGTTGTTCTTTTAAACTTTATATTCATCAAAGAACCCTGAAAAAGTATCATGGTTTACGCAAAAATAAGCAGAACTTCTGATACATAAACATTGATAATAATAAGAAAAGTTTTTTGAGCACCAAATCAGCATATTATAATGATATCTGAAGGATCATGTGACACTGAAGACTGGAGTAATTACTGCTAAAAATTCAGCTTTGCCATCACAGGAATAAATAATATTTTAAAATAGTAAAACAGAAAATAGTTATTTTAAATTGTAATAATACAGTATTTCACAATATTACTGTTTTTACAGTTTTTTGATCAAATAAATGCAGCGTCCCCAAACTTTTGAACAGTTGTGTATATTATCCTATAAGCAGGCCCACTGCACTTGGTGAACTCTGCAGAATTATTTAGATTTTCCCTAAAGGAAAAGTCTTTAGATTCTGTCTGGGTTTGCCTATAACTTTCATATGACATATTACAACCAAACAACCTCACCGCAACACAAATCATAACTTTACAGCCATTAAATAGTGAAGAAAGAGTAAGTTTTTGTAGAAACCAGGGTGTATTTGTAATGTAGTGTATGCTATAACTAAGGTGTCACATCTTTAATAGAGCATGTGCTGTTCCCCAGCAGGTGGGAAAGATAAAAACCAAGCGAAAACCATTAGGCCCTTTGATTTGACAGCCGTCCCGTTCCCCGAAGGCGAGGGCAATAAAAGAGCAGAAGCCTGGTAATTATCCCTGAACTTAATCAAGAGCACTATGCCACCCAACACTAGCCAGAATGCAATCAGAAACACTACATTACCCAACCTACACAAAACTCAATAAGTATCATTGTGTTTTCCCATTCTCCTCCACTGGAGGCCTGATCTGATGGGTACGTACGAATAATTAGAGGAACGCACGAGGATTCGTAATCCAATTTTCTTTGCATTTCGACATGTGGCTGATCCGAATGCGATCTGCAATGCGACCGATTGCACTAATGTCTTTCATTAGTCTTCAGTGTTTGTTTGAACTGCAAGGGTGCTTCATTCAGACTCAGTGCTGTGGAATAAAGTGATAAAACTAAGCTCTGTAGATGAAGCAAATGTGACCCATAGTGTAACTGTTAAGAGGCTTTGGGCTCAGTGGGATATTGTATTATTAGAATCCTTAAATCTCTCGCTCTGATTGGAGCCTGTTATAATTTCCTATAGCAATATCTCTTGGGTGTACTGCAATCTCTCTCATTTGGGCTTATGTGGAATTAGCCATCCCTGATGTGGTGAATGTGTTTTGTGTATGATGTGTATGCACGTGTGTGTGTTTCTCTTTTGCTCAGAAGGGAACCTAAACTAATGAACCCTAAAGACCCCCATGTGGAGTTGAACTGCTCCACTTCTGCATTATGCATCAGACTGTGAAACACACACACACACACAAACACTAAGAGAGGAGAGAGTATTTTATGTGCACAATTTCCTACCATGTAAGTGAGGAGAATGTCTCAGGTACAATACGAGTCCATAAAAAATGGTAGAAACCTCAGAGAGTTTGAGAAATGTCACAGTTACCGTTGAAACTGGGGAATACCATCCAATTTCTTTCTGATTGGCATCTTTCTACCCCCATTTTCCCTTTCACTGGTAACACTCACTAAATTGTGTTTTAATTTCTCCCCTTTTGAACTTTAGCATCTCTGAAAATGAGCTGCTTTGTTAAAGTCTGAGAGGTATAAATCGGAGACGTTCACTCTCCCCCTCTGCATCCATCCCATGATAATTCCCTCTAAATGAGCAAAGATGGCTTTCAGATATGTAGTTGTATAACTCCTTCAGATAGCTCTCCCTTTCTCTTTCTGTCTATCTTCAGTGGTTTTATCAGCAGACAGCTGATTTATATTCGTCCTGGCCAATCAAGACAAGCACTGCAGGTGGTGTAAGTGTCAGTGAACACAGCCTGTAAAGTATAAACTGCTGAGTTAACAGATGCATTGAGCTGTTGGACTGATCGGTCATTAGTCCACTCTCTATAAAAATGTCTTGAAGAGAAGATAAAAACTCTCCCTCCTTGCAGCATCTCCACTCTGTTATAGACTTCAAAAAGCCATTGTTTCCTTATATTTGGCGGTGGCAACACATTGCAGATGTGATGCCTGAACATTTCGTTTATGTATGTGTGAAATGTACAATCTGTGTGAAGATCATTATTATTAAATATTTACAGGAGGAAAACCAAAAACCTAAGTAGCGATAATCATATGCTAATATATGCATTCATACATATTCAAATATATGAAGGTGTGAAGAAATACACTATTGCTGTAATAAAAATCTACAACGCTACCTGTACCTGCTCCCTTTTCTTTTAAATACTCCGCATTACTGTTCAAACCAAAATGTTTCTTGTTATGCAAATTAGGTTCATTTCTTTAAAATGTTCTCTTGTCATCTAAATGTCAAAATGCATGCAATTTACTACATGCAAATGGAGCAATAATCACTTGTAAACAAAGAAATAGCACAGAAATGGCACAGTCATTGTTTTAAAATGGCTCTTTTCTGCTCTGTGTAATATTCACGGCAGATAACACTGCAGGAAAGCCTGACATTATTGTTGGTGTGATGAATTAATTCCAGAAATATCTTACGGGTCCCAAAATAAAGCTAGTGTTAACCAACAAACACAGAGGCACACGCTGAAGCTGTCAGGTGGAACCTGCTCAACCCCCATTTTGTCCTGAAATTGACAAGGATTAATGGATAAAAAGGAATGATTCAATTACCCCTTATCCCTCCAATGTCAATAAGATGGGAGTCAATTTGAGCTAAGATCTCTGTTACACACTGAACTCAGTTGCACTTTTTCTATTTTTAAACACGGCAATCTTTTCTTTATTAGATCTAAAACTTTTAAATCACAAAGTTCTACAAGAGATTAAATCCCAGCACTCCCATGCTTTAACTGAACAAAATAGTATGATATTTCTATGCATTCCCATCATATCGCTGGTCCACAGAGTGGGACTGATTTGTGGCCAGGTGAGGAGTAGTGTGATACTGCCTCTTATTTTTTCGAGGCACAAATGACTCCCGGAGCATGCTGGTATTAAACACAGAGCTGGTGCTTTCATATTGAGAAAGAAATGTGGTTAAATCCTGAGGAAAAGGTGGCAGATCTGCTGCAGGTGTGTGGAACAGCATGAGGAGCTCTGGAGAGACCCACAAAGAGTTAAGCTTGATTTGACAGGGGTCTGTTCACTGCTTTTTAGCAATAACGCTGCTTTTGTGTTTTAACATGGAGGGAAAAGGTGAAATTGAGGATTTTATGCATTTTTCATCATGCTCTTTGGTATATAAGACGTGCTTTAGTACTTACTGCGCTAGATGTGCCATCAGTGTCTGTTAGTCGCTGATGTAGGTCAAACCAAACTGTCTGCAACAAAAACCAGAACAGAAAAGCCACTAGTGAATTCACTGTCCCCCTCAGCTGCCCTTCACTGCTGCTGTCTGTTCGCGAACACTCAATCAGGTGAGCTCATCATGTTCTCATAAATGTGTGTAATCGCCCAAGGTGGGTCAATAATGAAAGAGTAAAGAGTAAATCTTGCATTTCACATAACTAATAATAAATACAGTAGCCATTTAGTTTTTCAGGTGTTGCTAGCTACTAATAGGACATAAAATCTTAAATTTCTTCACAATTTATGTGTGACGGAGTTGACATATCACATAAAAATAAGTATATACAGAACTCATCAGGGCCTGTGTGATGTGGAACTCATAGAAGATAAAATATGGAAACCTTCAGGATGGCAACTGACGTTGATTTTGCCTGATTTTTCAAATGTTTTCATAAATATCTGACAAAAAGTAACAAGACAGATGTGAAACTATATTAACCTCTTTCTTCAGTCCTCCAGTTTTCTTTGAAAATACATATGCATATTTCTATTTTGAAGAAATTAACATTAAATGTAATGTAAATGTACATGTAAAACCACCTGCCCCAGAGTCAGTATTCATTTAGATCAGTGTTTCTCAACCTGGGCCTGGGCACCCCCCAACACTGCACATTTTGTATGTCTCCCTTATCTGACACACTCATTTCAGGTCCTGGAGTTTCTTTTAATGAGCTAATGAGTTGAATCAGGTGTGTTTGATTAAGGAGACACACAAAATGTGCAGTGCTGGGGGGCGCCCAAGACCAGGGTTGAGAAACACTGATCTAGATGAATACTGACTCTGGGGCAGGTGGTTTTACATGTAGAAAGTGATAAAAATTTCATGATTTTTTATTAAATATAGAGAATTTCACATGAAAATTCTGTCATTAATTGCTTACCGTCATGTCGTTCCAAACCCATAAGACCATCTTCATCTTTGGAACACAAATGAAGATATTTTTGATGAAATCCGAGAGCTTTCTGACCCTCCATAGACAGCAACGCAACTAAGACATTCAAGGTCCAGAAAGGTAGTAAGGACATCGTTAAAATAGTCAATGTGACATCAATGGTTCAACCTTAATTTTATGAAGCTGTAAAAATACTTTTTGTGCACAAAGAAAACAAAAATAACGACTTTATTCAACAATTTCTTCTCTTCCGTGTCAGTCTTTGACGCGTGTTCACAAGAGTACCACCACGCATGTGTCACAATGTCCTTAATACCTTTCTGGGCCGTGAACGTGGTAGTTATGTTGCTGTCTATGGAGGGTCAGAAAGCTCTCGGATTTCTTCAAACAATATCTTAATTTGTGTTCCAAAGATGAACGAAGGTCTCACAGGCTTGGAACAACATGAGGGTGAATTTTTAGGTGAACTACTCCTTTAAGGACATACTAGTTTATTCTTGACTTTGATTCATTTCAAACTAGAAATGTTGCTCTTTGCAGTCATGTTTTCTAGTATGAAGAATCTGAGCAGTGAAAGAAAGCCTGCAAGTATTATTTCCCTTCCTCCATGTAGAGCCTAGAAGCACTGTCACTCGGATGTAATAATGTATGCAGATAATAAAAAAATGCTGAGAACAAGAACCGTATATATTTCAAATATTCTCACTATATTCCAAAAATAGGGACTTTATGAATTCATGAGGAATTTACAGCAGCCATGACTCTGAAAAGTTAACACCATCGAAACGTATGAATCATTATGTGCTTCATAAAAAGAGAGGTGCTGGTATCTCCTGTCAGTCCATCCATAAGTGAACAGGGATAGTGTGGAATATTCTTTGCCATCACGGAATGACAGAGTACATAATGGCCGGTAATGATGCCACAAATTCGTGCAGCTGTCTTTCTCACTGAGAAAAGTGATGGCGGGTTATCCATCAAAAATAATAGCAAGAATGACAACAGCCGCACTGTTGAGTATGAATACTGCAGGAACGGCTTGAGCGTTAGTCTCCACAGTGATTGGAGGCTATCAGGGTTCCACAACTGGATAGAAAAGGAAATGATGCGTTTCCTAAACAGTGGGGGTGCATTATGCAGACAACAAGAGCATTCTGATGACTGATCCAGCTGTGAGCCAAAACGGGTCACCAAAGTCAGGCTGCCCTGTCTGCTAAAGCGACAGTGAGAATGGGGAACAGGACAGGACAGACGTACAGTGCCATGTTTGACATTTCAGTTAAACTGAAGGCTCTGAGGATGGATGTTTAGAGGAGCATGTGTTAAATCCTGCACAGACCCAGCTGTGCTGCAGGTCTGGTTGTACTGACCAACAATGGCAGATCTCACAGTGGACTGTGCAGAAGAACTTAGAGTTCGACAAGACAACTGGAAAAAACTGTCACTGATTTGAGAACTTTGAAGGCATGCCAAACTATGACGATTGCAATTGTAAAAGGTTGCATGGCTTGCAGGGGTGGTTAGAAAAAAAAAAACATTTCAAAATATTGCATTGTTTTACCATATATTTATTTATTTACCATATATTTATATTTATATTATAATATATATATATATATTTTTTTTGTAGTAGCATTAGGTCAAAGTAGGTGTAGCATTAGATCAAAAAACACACTCAATTATTTCTATTCAAACAATATTAGTATAAACAATAAACAATAATGAGCTAATAATACTATTGTGTAAAGCATTGTAGTCCATCAGATGAAAGTCAGTAAAAGATCAAACAAGTTTTGAATTAATAAACAGTAACTATGCAGTAACTATTTCATACACTATCGTTCAGAGGTTTGGGGTTGGTAAGATTTTTGAAATGTTTTAAGAAGAAGTCTCTTATGCTCACCAAGGCTGCATTTAATTGACAAAAAATACAGTAAAAACTGTAACACTGATATATATTATTACAATTAAGAGTTTTCTATTTTAATGTTTTAAATGTTATTTATTCCTGTGATGGCAACGCTGAATTTTCAGCAACCATTATTCCAGTCTTCGGTGTTACTGTCATGATCCTTCAGAAATCATTCTAATATGCTGATTTGATGCTCAAGAAACATTTATTATTATTATCAATGTTGACAACAGTTGTGCTGCTTAATAATTTTGTGGAAACTGTGATACATTTTTTAAAATTCTTTGATGACTAGAATGTTATTAAAATGTTTCTACTGTCACCTCAGATCAATTTATAGCCTCCCTGTTGAATAAACATATTCCTTTCTTTAAAAAAATAATTCTGACCCCTATCTTTTGAACAGTAGTGCATATCAGAAAATAATAATGTTTAAGTTAATTAATTTAAAATGACACTCTTCATGATATTTCTCTTCCTGCATTATAAAATTGATTGTATATCTTGTATCCTTGTTAATCTGTCTGGACCAAAACCAAAACATCATCCAGTACCAGAGGAGTTTCTGCTGCCAAACCCCAGATATCCTCCAATTCATCCCGTCTCACCAGGATGTGTCAGACTCAGAACCTCCCTTTCACTGAGAGAGGAATAAATCAGTCGAGCTGGTTTGGCTATTCTTAGCTCCAGCAATAAGAACCTGCCTGCCAAAAACTCCAGTATTAACTGGGGACTCTATTAGTCCACTGTGCTCAATGTCTATCAGACACACATAATAAAATGACTGAGCGAAGTAGAGAGAGATGGTGAAATAATGGTTAACCAAAAAAGAAAAGTTACATGGATGTTGAGTGAAAAGAATATAATGGTAAAAACAGTCATCTGCTAGAGCAGTACTGTGGTTGACAGGTCTGTTTATTGCTTTCTTTGTTTCACCGTATCATTCCTGCCCTTCTTCACTGCTCTCCTGAGCAATGAAAGTAATAACTATAGGAGGAAAAGATTACGGGCTTTGCTAAATGCAATCTGAATCTCCTCTCAGGGCTTTACATATGAATGTGTGTAATTATCAGAGTGTGCATGTGTGTGCATAAGTGGATGTACTGTAAGTGCAGCAGTAACAGAAATTACAGAGCTGTATTTTAGGTACAGGAGGTACAGAAAAGCTGCACAACAAAGTCTTAAGGCCATGACACACAAAGCTGACAGTTAGCGAACATCGGGCCATTGTTGAGCTATTCCAATGCACACAGATTTTCATTAACGACATGGCATATATATCTACAGTGCTAGTTTCCATTTCTCTTTATAAATGATGAACATAGACTATTGCCATGTGCTGACAGTCATTTCCTCTCACGCAGCCACAAAACGTAGGTGTCTATGTTCGTCATGGTGTGTTCAAGTGCAACTTTAGCCCAGACGCACACAGCGTGAGGCGACATCACAGTCAGCTTTTGTCAATGCAAGTTCTTTGTTGTCGTTTTGGTGTGTCACAGCCTTTACTTGCTAATCATCCATTGGACTTATAAAACGAGGAATCAAAGTTTCATCTCTGGGTTTGAGTTTTTAGACCAACAAAAATCCACGTCCCATCTTTCCATATTCAAGTCCCATTTGATATTTACAGGTTACCCTTACACTGCCATTCAAAAGTTTGGGATTGTTTTTTTTAATGTTTCTAAAAGAAGTCTCTTATACTCACCAAGGCTGCATTTATTTGATAAAAATACAGTAAAAATAGTAATATGGTGAAACATCATTTCAATTTAATATAATTGTTTTCTATTTTAATATATTTTAAAGGGGTGGTTCAGTGTTTTTTTTCTAGGCTTGATTGTGTTTATGGGGAGCCGTCTAACGTGTTAATGCTTCGTTTTTAAAAAAACACATTATTTTTCACATAATTTACCTTTATTCCACACCGCTTTGTCCCTTCTCTGAGAAGCGCGCTGCTCATTTCCTGCTTTTATGAACCCCCGCCCTCAGAAATAGGCGATGGGCTCTGATTGGTTAGCTAGCCCAGTGTGTTGTGATTGGCTAAACCGCCTCTAGTGCGCGTGTCTCGTTCCCTTCGGGGAACCATGGTTACATACGTAACCTGGAGACGTTTTCTCTTCCTCTTCTCTAAAGCAGCGCAGCATGGCCTCGCCCCCTTTGCTGCCTTTTCTCGAGGGTGGGGTTTATCTGGGTTTGTTACCTCACGAACCCGGGAAGTAACTTGTTGTAGTCCCTACCAGCCGTTTTTGTAGGCATTAAACTGCCAGAATTTTAAAAGACGATATCTCTGTTTGCATTGAACTTTCAGTTTCGTAACTTTGCAGATATTGTTTATGCTCAAACAGCAACATTACACACTAACTAACGTTAAAAAAGTGAAATCGCAATGAACCACCCCTTTAAAACATAATTTATTCCTGTGATGGCAAAGCTGAATTTTCAGCAACCATGTCTCTAGTCTTCAGTGTCACATGACTATTGCTGTACACAGTTCTGCTGCTTAATATTTTTGTGATAATCATGATATACTTTTTTAAGGATTTCTTGATGAATAGAAAGTTCAAAAGCACAGCATTTATTTGAAACAGAAATCTTCTGTGAAACTGTAAATGCCTTTACTGCCATGATCAATGCATCCTTGCCAAATAAAAGTATCAATTTCCTAAAAAAAACTTACCCTAAACTTTTGAATGGTAGTATATGTGACACCAGTCATAAGTAACACGGGTATATTTGTAGCAATAGCCACCAATACACTGTATGGGTTAAATTATTGATTTTTCTTTTATGCCAAAAATCATTAGCATATCAAGTAAAGATCGTGTTCCATGAAGATATTTTGTAAATTTGGTACCGTAAATATATTAAAACTTAATTTTTGATTAGTAATATGCATCGCTAAGAACTTCATTTGGACAACTTTAAAGGCAATTTTCTCAATATTTAGATTTTTTTGCACCCTCAGATTCCAGATTTTCAAATAGTTTTATCTTGGCCAAATATTGTCCTATACTAACAAACTATACATTAATGGAAAGCTTATTTATTCAGCTTTTTTTTTTTTTTTCAAATTTAACCTTATGACTGGTTTTGTTGTCCAGGGTCACATATGAGACGGCCATCAAACATCCACTACTATAATATTTGTTTATAATGACATACTATTTAATCAAATCAAGTTGCATCAAAGTCTTATCAGGTTTATGCATTTAAAAAAAAAAAATAACTACAACAATGCAGTAACAAGCAAGGCCAATTTACAGACCAGTATAACAGCCCTCACAGCCAACACCTGCCACCCTCTGAAACATATACTCTTTTGTGTTACTTGTGTGATATTTAATTTTTATTTGAAACAAATACAAAACACCTTTGAAATCTATGCATTATTATGTTATCAGTTGCCATAAAACCAGAAACTAAGCTATATCTTTCCATTTATATTTTTATTTTCAATGTCTTAATACACTGGATTGCATCTGCACAGATCTGTGGATTTAGACCTCTTGCTTTTATAAGACGCTTCCCAGGAGGAAGCACTTGACCTCTCAGTATTATAAGACAAACCTCTTACCTTATTCTCCAGACGTCCAATCAGCTCAGCCAGTCGGTTGATCTGTGTCTCAAGTCCTTCTTTTCTCACCTCCACAGCTCCTGACAGAGACAGAGAGGCACAATGCATAATTTGCAGATAGTTCCAGCAATGTTTCACTCTTCCAGGCACCTGAAACCTCATCTCAGAATGGCTGTCATAGCAATGCGACAGAGCGAATCAAACGTTCAGACACTATTACTGAGCTCAAGTTATTACAAAGATTATAATGGACGTTTACACTTCTTTGCAAACTGTTTTGAGTTTTTACCCATCAAAAGGTGTTCGTTAGGGCAGATGTCACATATAAAAAAAGTACTGAAAAGTACTACCACGTTTTTTTGGAATTGTACCCGTAGTATTACCATCTGATACCACGGTACCGCCACTGCGAATGATAAGTACAGTATTGTTTTTCACAGAAAAACAAAAATGGAGAGTGATTAAAATGATTTCCACCCTTCCTTTCTTTCTTTTATGCAATGACAGATCCTATTATTGAGGGAAAAGGTTTTCCTGCCTTTGAAATCAGCCCCACTTGAGGTGCCAAACCAATTAGACTCTAACACCTCCCTTGTGTTGATGAGACCAGCATAACGGGGAGGGGAGACACTTTGGAACACATTAACTGTTACCATAGCAATAGTGGGACCAAGTGAACAGGGTCTGAAACCTTTTAAAGGCATAACAAGATGGTCACTAAATCAGTATATCAACATTGAACTGAGACCAGTTTGAGGTTTTCTTAAAATAAGTAATATTAGGGCATACTGTAGCACAGCATTCTGTGAAACATACATCAGATAGAACATGTACATAAAATCAGCACAGAAAATGCTAAGTTTGCAATTCTGTAAGGCCAGAACCATACAGGATTACAATGTTCAAATGACATGTCTCCATTATTCTTCATATGAGCAGCAGTAGCGCAACAGACATTTCTTCACTCATACAGTAGAAGTCTGGAATGGATGAAGATAATCTGGGAGTCTTGCCACATGGTCTTCCTGCTTATGAGACTGTCATGTTAATTAGCTTGGGCAATTTAGCCACGACATACTGACTTGGAAAGAGCATCAGTTCAGACTCCAGTCAGGACCAAGCTGGGCCGAACCCAAACCTTTCCCTGACCACCTGCTCCTTCCAGATTTAGTCCTGTCAAATGAATGACATGCCAATATGGTATCTATGGTAAAATTGGAAAAAGTCTTGCTTAGTTTGAAACGTTATGAAACACAATGACTCTCTGAAGAAAAATCTCAGCAAGCAAAGCAAAAAGGGCAAACTTAAGGTGAGACACTACAGGCACAACAGGGTTTTTCATTCATTGGTCAATGGTTTTTCATAAAGTGCTGTTTCAAACTAGTGCAAAGAAAATATTCAAAATACACTTTTAAGTGTTGTTTTTATCACACTTTATCCATTTCAATTACAAGGAATATCTTTAAAGGAGTCAGAAATCTCCACTTATATATATATCTATCCATATTCAAAAGGTTTTTACAGAAGGATTCATTTATAATTTGTCTGATTTTATACAGCATTTTATCCCAAAAAAACGGTGGAAAAAAAAGCATTTTTTTCCTAGCTGTTGACAGTGGCTATCTTTCCAGCTAAATCCAGTATTCAGATTTCTGTTCTGAAAATGTATGCAAATTAATGCATATTTAATTAGATAATGTATCATTTGCATATTTAAAAAGAACATTTGAGAAAATTTGTAATAGAAAAATGTTTGCAATTCTTAAAGGGGTCATATGACGTTGCTAAAAAAAACATTATTTTGTGTATTTGGTGTAATGAAATGTGTTTATGCGGTTTAAGGTTCAAAAAACACATTTTCCACATACGACATGCATCTCCACGACATGACGGCGGCGGAAACAATACTACAGCGACAATCAATGTTACGCCTTCTTTCTTTGCGTGAACATTTGGGCGGCGTTATGCAAATCTTCCCACACAGTGACGTAGATATGTGGGGGCAAGTTTGAACGAAGCGTTTTAGGAGGGCGTGGACGAGTCTTAACTTTTATAAAGAATATCTCTTTGGGTTTGAATCTTTAGTCTTTGCAACTTTAGGGATCTTATCTATGCACGAACAGCTTGTAACACTCCAAAGAGAAAGGAAGGCTTGAAATCGCATCATATGACACCTTTAATGTAATCAATCAGTGGGGGTAGTATGGTAATATCTATTAGTAAATTTTTTTTTTTATCCTATTGACAATATGCCTGGATTGTCCAAAATAACATTGTTTCTATTAGTGCTACTGTTTCATCCTACAAACTGTCTTACATTATATAAATTTAGTGACAATTATTGGTAAGTTTTTTATTATTAATAATTATTTTATCTACTGATAATGTTATGGCCGCTAACAAATAAAAGGCAGATATTGAAATTTTATTAAACTTTTTTGTCTAAATGAATTAAAAATAATACACAAAAAAGAAAATCAACCATTTTAAATGCTACAAGTGAATTCAGGCACTACAGCATTACAAATGTAATCTAAATTAGGGGAAATGTGCACGCACAATTAAATATCCAATATCGGTAATCTAGTATCAGAAAGAATCACTATATATAATCATTGAATTGTAGGAATCAAACTGAGACTGTGTGTGTGTTTGTGCAACATGAGCAGAAATAAGGTGGAGAGCAGACTGAGAGAAGGAAAGCAATTTGAGAAAAGCCTGTGATTGACTGATGGGAGAAAAAGTGCCATGTGCAAAGCAAGTCTTGCAGAAGTATTGATCAATATTCTCATCCCGGTGCTCATAAACTACAGCTTGGACAGCACGGTCCAATCACGCCTCTCCCTGCCGGAGCTGACAGCTAGAATGGCGCTTTTATTGTGAACCGAGTCAGCTTTATCAGTGTGTAGGGGAAATTTAAAACTAGTGCCAGTGTTTGAACGTCACCCATAAAACACACCTCTTCGATTCAGCGCTGCGGTCTCACTTGAACAATATCGGCATATTGGACAGGCCGACTTTACAATAAAAGTGAGTGAGAGGACAATTGAAATCTATATTAATTACCGTCAATAAGGAGTGTGCATGTCAATATAAGCTTCCCTTTACAGCTTTTTGTCCTGAAATGTCAAATGGCATCTAACACACCTACTGAAATGCAGACACACTAAGATCAGACTCCAAATAAGCTCTGGATCTGTTCGAATGATAAATCCACAGCAACAGAAATGTCTGTATTGCTTGGCTGATTTGGAGAAATTGACTGCATGACTATTCTATTAGCACTGAGAGGAAAGTGAGATGGGCATTTCAAAAAGAATCCTATATTGCCTTTCTCTGTGAAACAGAAAAAAAGAAAAACACTAGAATTAATTTGCTATCGTATCTCCAGGCGCACTCTAACTCCTTTTTCAAACTAAAACTCGGGAACGCTTTGAGGAAGACCTTTTTTCCACCCTCTCCTCATTAAAAACTCACACATTTCTTCAGTTGCATCATGCATACAAGACTGTCGAGAGCGTGTGGTATGTGCTGACTTGGCACATGAATGGCGTTGTGTTGTTTTAGTGTCTCTTCAGAGCGGTTTCATAACCAACTCACTGGAGCTCAGGCCCAAATCTCATCAGTAATGGAAATGTGGAGTTTGTTGATACAGAAAGCCCACGGGAAAGCCTGTGAAACCACATCTTTGACAGACTTTAACTTTGCCTTTGGCTATTAGACGGCACACAGAATGGTAAATGCGGATGTTTTGCGTGATAATGCAGTTGGCCACCAAGTGTGCACCACAAAAGAGATCCTTACCAAATAGATTTATGCAATGTTTGGAAAAACAAACCCCATGATGAACAGAAGCAATAAAGCAATGCGCCAAATAGACCATTAAATAAGTCCTCAAGTAAACCTCCACTAAAAAACTGCAGGAAAATAGTATTGAAAGTATGGCGCCTCTTATCTATGTGCCAATTGTTCTAATAGAGGTAATATTACTAAAAGTCAGTCTTTTCCTCTCACAGACCCTGGCTGAGGAACAGCTATCTAGTCTCAATGGAGATTTCCCTGAGATTTCCACCATGTCTCCATTCCCTTGTGAATCACTCATTGATACTCTGGCAGTAAAGCATTTTTAGGCATTTTAAGGTATCATAGGTGAGGTACAAAATGAACCCTAGTTAAAAATACTACTGGTATTACAAAATATAAAAAGTATAAAAAATACAAAAAACTGGTATACTTAAAGTCTGCAAAATGTGACTAATTTTGTACTTAGTGTACTTTAATTGTGCAGAAGTCCAACTAAAGATACACGTAAGTATATTTGATTGTGCTAAAGTGGAACTATTGCAAGTATACTTAAGTACACTTTAAATATCTTGCGTTTAAAGACCGATATTATTCAAAGATCATACAATCCTCATCATTAGTGACAATTAAACACATTTTAGGCTTAATATTAAGAAATGTGCATTGTGCACAAGTAGCACTCCCAATAAAGTTTAATTATAATTTTAATATCAGTAAGTCTCGAGCAATATGTCAGTAAATATGTTAATAGATTTTAACTATACTTAGTATGAAATAAATGTATTTTAAATACATTACTTTTTTACTAGGGTAGGCAGTTTAATTTTGCTGTCTTTTAAGATACCTATTTTTAGCCAAATTCACATGACAAGGCAAAGACAAAGACAAGGCAATCCCAGAATGTGACATGCTCATTACAAAAACAGTACAACAAAGATGGTGGACAAGGTGAAAGAAATGATTACAAAAAATAAATAATAATGGTAATTTGAAAAAGTATTGACGAACATACTTTGTGTAACATGTGAACAGTATAATATATATAAAAAATATTATTTTAGCCAATATTTAGGTGTGCTACTGTTCAAAAGTTTGGGGTCAGTATGATGTTTTGTTTTTTGAAAGAAATTAATACTTGTATTCAGCAAGAAGGATCAAAAGTGACAGTAAAGAGACTTATAAAGTTACTAAAGACTTCTATTTCAAATGAATGCTGTTCTTTTGAACATTGAAATGTTTGTTGAGCACTAAATCCGTATATTAGAATGATTTCTGAAGGATCATGTGACACTAAAAAATAATTAATGCATAAATAAATGCAGCATTGTTTACCATGAAAGACTTCTATTAAAAAACATATCGACCACAAACTTTTACACTTTATAATAAAGTTCTTAAACTTTTTTTAAATTTATTTAATGCTTACTCTGCTGTAGAAGGCAGCTGTCTGTGTAGGTAGCAGACAGCAATACAGTTCACTAGGGTTTGGAACAGATCTTGTAATGTAATGTAAATGACAAAACAAATTAGAGGTTTCTTGGAAAAGAACTCTCAGGCGTATGAGGTAAGAACCAACCGTTTCACCACAACCTTGTTCAAAAAGTCTCATCACAGCTGGTTCTGCTCACATACACAGATGCATGCTGCATTTATGCTGATGCTTGGAGACATAAGTGTATTCAGTAGGTAGAAGTCACTTTGCAAGTTTTGTGTGGGCGGAGTAATTCCAGATTTACATTATTTCAGACTTGAATTCTAGAAATGCATCTTCTGCATAAGTACATACTTAACCCTATAAAGTCTACTCTATCATATTTGATACACAAATTTTAAAGCCTCAAAATGATCAACATGATCAAAAACACAACATTCTACATGCCTTCTGTCATCTGCCTGACACAGTACTTTAGACTTTTTTTTAGCCTTTTATTATAATTGTAAAACTGTCCACTAGATTGTGGGACACATGTGTTGTTGCTAAGAAATCTGTCCTGGATTTTTAAAGTAAATATAAGAAAAACCTTTATATTGTTATATTAAGGTTATATTTCAAGGTGAACACTTACTAGACTGAAGCAACTTAGATTTACTTGATTATCCTTACATCATTTTTAGAAAATTCATGTTAAAATGTGAGTATCAAATATGATACAGCAGGCTTTTGAGGAACAGTTATTTGATTAAGACAGCTAATAACAGTTATTCAATAAAGAAACACTCCAAATAAAGTTGAATTATAATTTTGTATCAGCAAGTCTTAAGTGATATGTCAATAAACATGTTAATGGATTTGAAGTATACTTAGTATTTTAAATAAATTATGCCAGTTTTTTTTTTTTTTTTACTAGGGTGATCACCTCACCTGCACCTGTGTTGATGTTCCTCATGCTGTCCTTTGAAGTGACTCTGTTGTTGGGAGGATAATCTGGCACCGGGGTCTCATAGCGCCTATCTGGGACGCGTGGGCTGGTCTTACTGGGGTAGGATCTAGGTCATAACAGGGAGAACAAGGACAAGGAATACAGATGATTAAAATGTTTAACTGAAACCAACTAAACAGTATTTAATTTCATTAGAAATAGTCTTTTTTTATTTAACTTAAATCATTTTTAAATGTATGATGGCAGCAAAATTTTCATCCATTTTTAATCCCATACCCGGGTGAGATCCCAAATCTGCTCTCTTATAATTAATGTCAGCAAGCCATTTGAATCCTGCAATTACTGTAATGTAATCATAAAGCATTTGCTAAATTGAAAGTCTACTTAACTTATGGATACATTCATGTCCTAATGGACATATATGTTGATGAATGGGACAAGCTCTATTTCTCACCCCACTGATGAATGCTGCTCATCAATGGCATCCACAGCACTCTCTACAGAGTTCAGCAGAGACTGGATCTGATTGGCTGATTCCTTCAACAGGAAGCGGGTCACAAACTGCTCAACATTAGTTCCACGTTCATATACCTGCAGTGAGCGAGAGAGAAAAAAAAGAGAGGAAGAGGAGATTGAAGGAGAGAAGACAGATAAGAGCACATCAGCACTTTACTGAGGATCTTAAGCATGTATATTTGACGAAGTTCTGTTTGAGAAACTCTAGTGAACTTTGCCCCAGCTTTAAGTACAACATCCAGAGGTGCAAATCTCCTGAGGGACCCGGGGGATGAACATGTCTGGAATGAGCTCAAAGAAACAAGAAAAACAAGATGCAGTTCATGTAGGCAAAAGCTCAAGGCGAGTTAAGTTCTGAAAGCTCGTAATGGTATTGGACATTAGAGGAGCCAACACTCATTGATCTGGTGACATTTTGACCACTTCCCCAAACACTCAAGGTTTGTTTTACACCGTAGAGGCATAATGTCACACAAGGGTGTTGTATTGAAAGAAATACACTGTGAAGGTGTTAAAGACTATGGCCCTGAACCCACTTTAGTGCTGAACTTTAAGAATCAGAATCAGAATCAGAATCAGAATGAGCTTTATTGCCAGGTATGTCACGGAGGCAGCCATCAGCGTCGGCGCCATTTTAAGCATTATTATTGTACATATAAACACATAGATTCTGTCAAATGCTCCCAGCAGCCACTGTGGAGTCTCAGTTTAGAGGTTTGCAATCTCTCAACCACAAATGTCTCATCTTTTTTTTGCGATTTCCTCTTATATTCTTGATCACTGTCCTGTCTAGATATTGTCAGGATGGCAAAAACCCACAATAAAGCAACTCTCTTGTGTAGCAGCCAAGACTCAAATCCTGGGCATTGTAAAAAACGAGTAAACAGCTAGTCTTTCGCTTGCTCAGTCATTGTCCATTGGCACTGATATTATGCACTGATTTGCAGAAAGATCGTCATGTTCAGCGTTTTAACCAACCCCTGCCTTCACTACTGATCGCAATTGAATATCTAAATGGAAAGGCAGCATTGGCAAGGGAGTAAAATTGGACTGCAGTCCTGGCCTCTGTAAGGTATCTCATAAATTATGCCGCATTGCCAATGCAGACTTAGGATGACTGTGTATAAAAGACCATAACAGAGGGAGTAATAAAGGAGACTGGGAGCACTGACAGTCTGTAGTGCTCCGTCATTCCAAGAAAACAAATTAAGTGAGTGAAGGAGAAGGGGTGAAGTGTGGAGTTGTGTAGCCTAGTAGTTACATTTAAGGGCTGGAAATGAAAGGCTTGCAGGTTTGATAGGGCTTAAAGGGATAGTTAACCCAGAAATTATATTTCAGAAATTTACTCAACTTCATGTTGTTCCAAATCTGTACGACTTCTCTTCTTTTGTATTCCACAGAGGAAGGTTTGTTGTTTTGGACCACACCGACTATCATAAAATGAACAAAAATATAGTTCTTAAAATATTATATTTTGGGCCAGTGCAAACCGTTTTTTGGCGTTAAAATAGTAGCATCAGGATTGACTAAAGACGCGCAGTGAAGAATTAGCGCTGAACAGGCCTGGACACAGTTATTTTTGTGCCTGACCTTATTGAATATGCATTTGTAGGAGTTTTCCTTTCAAACACAAATGCAATTTATTAACATTTGCGCTCGTCAAATGACTGGTATTTGTGCCATTATTTAACGCCCAAAAAAAGCATGTCTTAAAGCAGGTGATCATTTGCGCTGTTCTTGGTAGATTGTGCTGGTCATTATGGAAATGATCTGGCTGCCTCTGTGTTCTTTAATGTGCGCATAGTCAGTAAATCACCCGCAGAATTTTCCCCTGCCATCTGCGCTTTTATGGAATTGCTCTCTAACGCTAATTTGCCCTGTTTAGTAAATCTGACCCTTTGTGTACCGCAGAAAAAAGAAAGTCATACAGTGTTGGGTTCTGCCCCTTTAAGAATGTGATGCTTAAGAGTGTACATGATTCGGAGTCATTAAAAAGAAGAGAAACGATGCACAGCACGAGATTAATGTAGCTTGTTAAGACTTAAAACGATCTAATAACATCAAAATGGCTTTACATGTTGATTCTTTCCTGATCCCAGTGTGGTCATCATATTTTATTGAGTCATTTGTGGTTCATGTTAATTGTTTATTGAGATCGCTGTGGATAAATGTGACCCTGGACCACAAAACCAGTCTTAAGTCGCTGGGGTATATTTGTAGCAATAGCCAAAAATACATTGTATGGGTCAAAATTATAGATTTTTCTTTTATGCCAAAAATCATTAGGATATTAAGTAAAGATCATGTTCCATGAAGATATTTTGTAAATTTCCTACTGTAAATATATTAAAACTTAATTTTTGATTATCAATATGCATTGCTAAGAACTTAATTTGGACAATTTTAAAGGCGATTTTCTCAGTATTTTGATTTTTTTGCACCCTCAGATTCCAGATTTTCAAATAGTTGTATCTCGGCAAAATATTGTCCTAACAAACCATACATCAATGGAAATTTTGAAAAATTGACACTTATGACTGGTTTTGTGGTCCAGGGTCACAAATAGTGTAAACGCCAAATGTGACGCAGTTATTTAACTATGATTATACATTTGTTTGGTTTCTAAGTAAAAGAAAGAAACAACAACAACTACGTTAATGTTATCTTTATTGGTAACATACAGGTTTGGAATGACATGAGGGCGAGGAAATGATGACAGAATTGTCAGGTTAGGGATGCACGATATATCAGTACCAACTCTATAACTGATTATTTAATATTTATTCATCTAATACTCCCTTAAAATTAATATTTAAAATCACTAATAATAATAATATTAACACTGTTAAATGTAATCTTACGCAAATCCCTAAATGACTATCCATTTAGTGTTGCCTAAATTCAATTGTAGCATTTAAAATAATTTTTAGTGCTTTCATTTTTTAAAAAGTAGTATTTAATATGAGCAATATATTGCTTATCAACAATAACATCAACAATAACATGAAAATAATTAAGGATATTTATATAATTTCAATATGTATATAAGCCTAATTATAATAATTAATAATAATTAAATTAATTTAGTATCATTTATATATTATTACAGTTTTTTAATATTTTGAATCAGTTTTTATTTTATATTTTCCATTTTAATTTTAATTAAAGTCTTTTTTGTGTTTTTGTCATTTTTAATACTAATATGTATATATTGTGTCTATATAGTATCTATATAGTTATAGGCAGTTTACATCAAGTTAAGCTAAATTAAAATACGTAATGTTTTTAAACTTTTTTTCCAATTAACAAACATTTTTCAATCGTTTATTTTAGTTTCAGTTTTAGTTTTAGTTAACTAATAACCCTGATACCCTTTAACCCTGTTTCCTAATCTAATTTTTTGTGACATTGCATTAAAAAGTTGCATAAAAACTGTGGTGACAAATAAACCATTTTTTTTGTCATGCCCACCTGCCTGAACAAGGAGCCTCCAGGTGGTGTCGATGGCGGCTGGGAAGACTCCGAATGATTTATGCTAACGGTATGCCAGGTCAGGCTCTGCACTGCGTTTTAGTGCCAACGAGGGCTTTAACACACATCAGCAAGCATGGAGGCAGGGCTTACTGTCCAGGCCAAAATAAACAGGACTTCTCAACATAACTGGCAAAGCAAATAACTTTTCAATCCTGCAAAATACTTTATCCAAATAACAGCAATGATGACGTTAGAAGTAAATTAAGCAGAAAAACAAATAACCTGAAGATATCTATACAAATCAAAACTATATAACCGTGACAGGCCTTTAATGAGGTATAAATGTGTTTGAATTTTCAGGACAACACCATGCTTGGAGCGAATCTAATGATTTGTTGCCCAGACTGCATGAGTGCATAAGGATATGGGGTTTAAACCTCGGTGTCATGAAATATTCATTCTTCTCTATTATGGTTCCAATGACACATATACCCAACCACAAATGTACAAATGGTCTGTCACCCTTCTGTAAAATATGCTCTAGGCACTTCTGAAAGTGTGACTGATAAGGTGAATTACTGAATAACAATGAGTGACATACTGGACAAAAGCATCCCGAGACACCTGCGCTCAAACCGAGACCTAAATAGTCGAGAAGAGCATTATATGTGATGCGCAAAGACAGGTTTTCCACAAATTAAACAATGGCACATACAAATAAACCATCAGGGTCTGAGGAGAAGCTTGTGAGGAATTATCTAATAATTAGAGATTTTCCACAGAGAATATATGGCACCTTTGGTAAAAATAAATAAATAAATAAATAAAATGAAAGCGCTGACACATAACCTTTTTTGTGTTTTGTGGAGCAAGCATTAAATGTAATAAGCGTGACAAATACAGACAAATGGATAGTACTGCCACTAACGCAATATTTCATAGTTCAAAGGAAAACTGGGTATAAAGAAACCCTCATATCAAGCTTAATAACCAATGCCGGTCATTTTAAACAGCCATCGGCAAAGGAACCCCAGAATAAAATGGCATATTATAGTGGGACAAGTAATTTGACTGATTTGTCCCAGCCTCTTTAAACGCAATTTTGCATATCACAAAATGTTGTTGCTAAGAAACATATTGACTGCTGTTGCTAGGATACGATTAATTGGCTCATGTCTGAACAGAGAATGTCTAGTGTGTTTTTGCCTTTAAATAGATAAAAGCTTACAGTTATACTAACATATTTACAAAAAAAAAAAAAAAAAAGAAAAAGTAACACCCTTGTTTTTGTTGTGTGGCTATAAGCAAGTGTCGATCAAATGAGCACATGATCGAATGACATCACTTTAGGGCACGCAGCATGTATCCATGGTAAAAGTCACACCCTTGTATTTGTTGACAAGGCTGGCTGATAAAGATACACAGCTCCTGTCCCAGATAATTATACAACATACAAGCATCTGTTCATCTCCATTATATTATCCAATATATTAAATTGCTATTTATCACTTTTTTTCATTTGAGTGTTACCATAACAGTAATTATTGATCCAGTCTAAATTTTAAACTTTACAAACATCCTTTTTTTATTTTTGAAAGCTGGATTTTACCATTCAATGCTAGGTAAAATTATATTTTAGATATATTATAAAAGTTATTTTAATAAATGTGTTAAATATATTATTTTTAATATGCAGTGCTGCATAGCTATTAAACTAAACAGAATGTTATTTTTAAATAAATAAAATATTAAATTTGACACACTGGGGAGTAATAACAAGTTAAGTTATTTTGCCCTTCCATGCCTTCCATATAGACTATTTAAAATAAATGTTATATGAAATATATTACATTTAATTCACAAATACTTTGAGATAAAATCCAGATCATCATCCACAGTCTCTGCTGCTTCTTGTTCTCCAAGTGCCAAATGAAAGAGGGTTAAACAGTTCTCTAGAATAAGCCGAAAGGGTAAACAACCCTCCCAAAATTACAGAGCACAACAGAGGCAGGCAAAGGTTTTCTCCCACCTACAGCCTAAACCTGCGGCTCAACCTAGTTAGACAAAGCTTCCGAGAATTGAGAGAAGAGATTCAATCACAATCGCATTAACCAAGCCTGAAAACAGAAGTCATGGCATAATGCAGTTATTCAGCCAGGGACACATCCATTCACAGTCCTAAAATCACTGTTGCTGAGACTTTACAAAACCAGGATTAAATCCCAGTCTGGTAGAAAATGAAGAGATGAGAACACAGACTTCCTATTGTAGAAGAAGGATGATTGAGCTGTGCCTCCATTATTGTCTGAGAGTGTGTGGGAAATGGGTTGTTCAATGCTACAAGATAAAGACTTACACTTTGATTTCTGCTGTTCGCTGCAGGTGTCTCAAGCATCTTTCAGTGTGATGCTGAAGGTTTATCTAACTTTGGGCATCACAGTTTCCCTAAGCCTTTTGGGAGGCTTCCATCTGTTCCAGCCACCGCACCGCATTTTCACTTTCATCTCCCCTAGAGAGAACAGTTTAACCCTGAGTCCTTTGACAGACTTAGAGTTGGGATTTTATCCTTTAAGAACAGATAAAGTGTGACACTGCAGCTGTGAAAGGCAGAGAATGTATCCTTTTAACAGACGTATAGTCACGCAATCAGCTATTTTATGTTTCTTTGACCCCTCTGCAGTACAATCTGACTGGAAGGTTGAACGTACATTTCAAGATTGTTCTTCCTAGTATTCCTATGAGAAAAACATCAATTTCACCTTTTAAATGCAAGACACACATGGTCACTTTTTTAAGCCTATGCAATGCAGTCATCAATGTGAGAGCAATAATCTTTTTCAACTTGCTTGGTTGAATTACGGATCAAGAGAAATACATCTGTGTTCGCAGTAACTTAAATTCAGTTGATTTAGTCATGCTGGCAGTAAGCACAAACAGCAAAATCATTTAGTAATAAAAAAGAACAATATGCAGAGCCACACAACAATAATCTTCATTGCCAAATACCCATATCCCCATGTGGAAGAATTTACTTAAGAGAAAGCACCATATCGCATATCTTTATTCACAAACCTTATTAGATCGGATCACTAACTACATGTCAATCAAATCCTCTGTGGGTTTGACCTTTATGGGTTTGACATTTAGATTCCTGAGGGCATCTCTAGAGGATAGGCTTCATGGCAGGCTTATAGGGGAACTTGTATAAATAAGTTAATTCTAGTTTACCTCAGAGAGCGCACAACAACAACAACAACAACAACCAGTGAACTTGAAAGTGCAAATCTTTATTCACACCCCACAGGCAGTGGGAGGCATCTGAGAACAATGTCATTCTCAAGCTGCAGCCACCACCAGCAAACATGCACAGGGCTTCTAATTATAATCGCCTCTTGCAGAGTTTTCCAGGCAATTTTAATCAGGCGGCTTGATGCTGGAGAATTATCATCACAAAGACAGGACTCGGTGTAACAGTGACAGTCTTTGCTTTCGACGCAGAGGAAACACAGGTCCACTGATCTATGTCACGGTGGGAGCGTTTCATAACCACACTGATTGAGACAGCAGTCGGGAAATCTAGTGCTCCAGCTGTGTTTCAATTGTGCCCACCTCTATAAGCCATAATGGTGATGAGGCAAGTAATACCGTGTTCAAACACAAACCATCATCAGTGTCTTATTCAGCCATCTCTTCTTGATCCACACAATTCATGAGATAAAATGACGCAGGTTACTGTCAGTGAAAGAATGGTTCACCCTATCTATCATAATTTACTCATGTCGCTGCAAACTTCCATCACATACTTTCTCCCGCAGAACACAAAAAGAGTAATTTTGGAGATGCTAGTTCCTCTTTTCCATGCAATTACAATGAAAAGCACCCTAAATGTATCATAAAAGTAGCCCATATGTCTTTATTCAAGTCTTCTAAAGTCATGTTTCTTCAACAGATCAGATTTTGAGAAATTTAGCATTACATCACCTGCTCACCAATGGATCCTGCGCAGTGAATGGGTGCCGTCAGAATGAGCGTTTAAACAGCTGATAAAACATCACAGTAATCCAAAAGTAACCCACACGACTCCAATCGATCAATTAATGCCAAGTGAAAAATAGTGTGTTTGTAATAAATTCATCATTAAAACCTCTGTCCATAATATTGCTTCTCCGGTGAAAAAGTCATGTGGTCTGAATCAGGAGTTGAAACCTGTTCCAAACATATGGACACTTTTTGGGTGTTTTTGCAACCTTTTTGAAGCTTAAAAACTCTAGTATAAACACACAGAAAAAAAGGGGTTTTAAATTGTACCTTAAAGGCAGAGTAAGGGATTTCTGGTAGCCAATGTTGATATTTGAAATCACCAAAACAAACACGCCTCTACCCCAAAAGGGTCTTGCCCCTATTTTGATAGCTCCGCCCCACATATATGTATGCAACCCAGGCATCGATTAGTTCTGTGAAACAAAGCAAAACCAATGTTACACTGTGTCTACGGACGTGAGCGGCGCGGCGCAACAGATCCCGACAGAAAACTGCTGCCGGGTTCTATTTATGACGTGCTGACACCGATTTCAAATGGTTTTCAACGGTCGTTTGATCGCGTCTAGTGTAGGCAGACTTTAGCTGTTGTAGACACGGTGTTACTCACCTATTGAGAAGAAACAAAGCAACCTCGGCGTCCGATCGCAGGCCTCCGCTCCTTGAGTTCTCTCCAGCGCTGGAAAGCTGATCCGATATTTACACGGGTCCTACTTCTTGCCTTATCGTTCCGCAGACGTTTTCCTCTTTTGTTTTTTATCTTTCTGTCACTTGGCTCGGCTAATGTCCGTCCCATGCACTGAACGCGCTCTCCTCCACATCACGAGTAGACACGCCCCTTATTGCTGATTGGCTACAAGTTTGTTTTGCGATTCGGCCCGAATCAGTTTTCTAAAGTGTTTTTGAAAAATCACTTACTCTGCCTTTAATAATACGTAATACGTACCCTTAAGATACTAATATGTACCTATTAGGGGTAAAAAAAGGTACACATATGTCCTTTTAAGGGTACTGCTCCAGGGACAAGCTGTTGTACCTCAAAAGCTACAATTCTGGCCCCTTATTTTTCTGTGTGAACTTAAATATGAACCAGTCGCTTAAGCTGCTATGTTAAGACTGCGTCTTAAGAACTACCAACTAGTAGCTAGCCAAGAGGTAATCAGACTTACTTTTTGGATTCAAATTAGACCGTTCTCCCTTTTTATAACTGACTTGAAAAAGTTATGACCAGTCTTAAAGAAAAAAAATTAGATGACTATCTTTTTAAGACTAGTCTAAGCGGTTTATGCAACCGGTCCTATTTCTCCATTTGTGTTCTATGGAAGAGAGAAAGTCTTGACAGAAGTTTTATTTTTTAATTATTCATTTTACTCCACAGTACAATAAACAGGAGGAGGAAGGGCCACGCATAGACATCGTTCTTCACACAGGCAGTGAATTTCACCAGCGATGACGCTTAATGAAAAGCTGTGTAAGATTCGGGCAATAGAGTTCATGATTCTCCAGTCATAAAATGCAGTCAGAGACAAACAACTAGGGCTGTGGACTGCACTTCATCATAAAATGCAGCAGCAGAGAGATTTATAGAAGGAGCCTCAGAAGTTTAATGAACAAGTGAGGACAAGCGCTGTGGCCGCACTTAGCTCTCGGAGGGCAGGTGCAGGGCCCACCGTTGTGCTAGAGCACATGGGCACAGGCTGCGATTCACACACTAGCAGTGGAGAGATGAGTCTCAGGACAGTAATGAATGACAGACGGGAGTTCTAGTAAAATGCCTGTGAAATTACCACTTCCCACCACCAATACAGGAAAGGGTTCGAGATGGAAATAGTGGAACATATTGGAAGGGCGGCAGCAATCTGCTTACTGTTTAAATCAGCGGTGTACCTAAATGAAAATTCTTGGACGGAACGGAAAAACAAAATTGAGGGTACACTAAGCCGGAAACCAAGTGTCTGATTTTTCATTTGCTAGTTTCATTGACTCAATTATTATAATATTGGGTTATTCATCTGTGCCGTCCTGATAGGCATCACTGTGTGAATAGAGGCACAACTGTCAGGGTTAAAATCTAAGTGCTACCCACGAGAGTCATTCGTTTAATGTTCATTAAACTTATTGCTTATTGCATGAATGGAAGCAGAATTAATTATAAAAACAGTTATCACTAGCATTGTACACAACCATTAAACATTTGGGGTAGATGACATTTGTTTGATCAAAAATACAGTAAAAACATTAATATTGAGAAATATCACCACAATTTAAAATAACGGCTTTCTATTTAATATATTTTAGAACGCTATTTATGATATTAAAAGTTTATTTATTTATTTATTTATTTATATATATCAGTCTTCTGTGTCACACGCTTCTTCAGAAATCATTCTAATTTGCTGATCTGGCGCTCAAGAAACATTTCTTATTATTATAATATTTCTTAAATTTCTTAAATCTTAAATTAAGAAATATTTTCTTAAATATTTCTTAATCAGAATTATAAAAAATTCACAATATTTAATAAATTAACTTATGCTCCTCTTTGAATTACAATTCATTAAATACAATTCCAATTCCAATTCAAAATAAACTTCCTGTGATATGTGGCAAATTCAGCTGAGGTTCTACTATATGTAATTCTGGATTTTGCTGGATTTTCTGTAGAGATTCAATAAATTTCTGTTTTCTGGAGATTCAATAAACCAAGCACTGTATCCCCCGTGACACTTCAGTAAAACAGTGATTAGAATATGAAAAGGTTCCTGTTAACTGATCTACAACAATTCAATTCAGCAGTGATGTTCTGATTCAGTGGTGTTTCCCACTGTTATCCTCTCATTGTCTTTCTATTACGTCCATGTTGTTGCTGCAAAAACTGACATTCATCCAGATGCAGATGAAACCATAGGATGTTAATTTAAAATGACTGCCGACAAATGGATTTTAAAGCCACTCTCATGTTGCACAACACTATACTTCAAGTTATGCCAAGCCAGAAAGGAAACGAGTATTTGAAAAGCAATTCCATAACATAAGGCAGCTTGGGACATTGAGCCATGGAGGCTCATTAGCACACAGCCTGCTCAAGGATAACATTATGGCAACATGCAGAATCTGAATTCCAGACTCGCCGTCTCATAAATATTCATTCACACTATGGAGAAAAGCAAGGGAGGAAAGAATGAACCTGCTCATTGTTTGTGCATGGCTTTTTTTATCCTGTCCCCAATGCTAGGTATTTAAATCCTCTAACAGGCCAGTAAACAGCCTATACTGTATATGACAAATGTACACAGCAAGCGTATGAGACTGAAGCCCTGCACACTAACTGAATCATCAGCAACAACATTCCAATGAGCCCCGAATTAAATTTCCTCCAAGCTTAGTGGTAATGCACCATAGTAGGTTCCAGAAATCTGAGTCTCTGTATACTGCAGATATATGTTCCCGAAAGCATTTCTAGTTTAAGGTCCATGATGCTCTATCTTTGACACTTTTGCACTCTCATATTGTTATTATTATACCCGAGTTTAGACTATATAGCCAAAAGTATGTACATAGACATCCTATTTAATTAAGATGTTAATGTATGAATGGGACAAAATCTCTGCAAACAACATATGAAAACCCTTCCTGAACAACAACTTGTGTGTATTTGACAGTTTAAGCACAGTAAGACATGAAAGAGAACTTAGTTTAGTACTCACATGCCTGTGACAGGCGCTTTCAGTGTGTGTGCTTCAGATGTGTGCGCTCAGAAAACCGTATATAAGAAGTTTAAACTAATATGGTTTGAAATTATGATTTCAGCGCGATAGACAAAATCAAAACCAAACAGATGTTTTTTTTACAAAGTATTTGAGGTACGAATTGTAAAGGCACAGCCCTATTCTGGAAAAGGGGGCGGGGAGCAGCAGCTCATTTGCATTTAAAGAGACATGCACGAAAACAGCGTGGCTCTGCTTCCACTCAAAATAGCCATCTTCAAAATGATGTAATAAATGATCTGTGGGGTATTTTGAGCTGAAACTTCACAGACACATTTTGGGGACACCTGAGACTTATATTACATCTTGTAAAAAAAGGGGCATAATAGGTTCCCTTTAAGGTAACAGAGTTCAATTCTTAAATTACAGTAATCAATTTTAAGGCAACGAGTAGAAACATTGTAATGAAATAATCAATAATTTTATTATTTACATCAGTGGTTTTCAAACCTGTCCTGGAGGACCCCCTGCCCTGCACATTTTCTGTCTCCCAAATCAGACACACCCAATTTAGTTCTTGCAGTCTCTACTAACGAGCTGATGAGTGAAATCATGTGTGTTAGATGAGGGAGACATACAAAATGTGCAGGGCTGGGGGTCCTCCAGGACAGGTTTGAAAACCCCTGATTTACATGACAAAACATCTCTAAGAAAACCCAAAGTCACAATAAGCCAAGTTCTTTAAGCACGCCATATGATGTTCTAAAAAAAAACCTCAAATGCCATACGTGGTTACCAGGGAAACTAGGTAACCGGGGTGACATTGTGCAACCAGAAGCAAATGAGCGCAAGTGAGAGTGACTGAACACAGGAGGTGTGTAATATATGTCTACAATATAACAATGGCCAAACCCCCTCACCTTGGGTCAACATGAAATGAAAGGGGAGAGAAGTAATGTATCATCTGCAGCTAAGAAAACATTAGTTTCAGGAAATGTCCTTCACCTCTATTTGGGACCTCAGATTTTCACAGCAGGGGTCTATGAGAATCTGTATGTATTGACCAAGCTTTTAAAAAAATAAGGCACAGAGATTAACTTCTCTTTCATCAACCATTATACATGAAAAAAGCCATTTTGGTACAATATATTAGGATATAAAGTAACAAATAAAGTTTGGAAACTTTAAAATTAGATTTGTTTTTTAGTTGCATGAAGCACCTGTGTTTAGGGATGTTTCGATCCGCCTTTTTCACTTCCGATATCGATTCAGATAACTAGGGTTCAGTATTGGCCGATACCGATACCGATCCGATACCAGTGAAGTTTTTTTTTTAAAATTTAAATAAATGTAGAATTTATATATCTCTGTGTGTGGAACTGATAATCATTCTTTCACAATCTACTAATACAGACTACTTAATTATAAAGAAAAATAAACAATAAATATGAAAAAATATATGTATATTCATAATCTATAACAAAAATGTATCATAAACTAGGTTAGTGGATAATTCGGCAGCAAAAGTTATTCTAGAAAAATCAGTGCACAATAATTTTAGAAATCCAAACATTTAGTGAAAAAACAATATTTTGTGGGGAACAAATAAAAGTGTTGCACTAAATATGGTAAAATGTTACACATTGCTATGTGTATTATAAAATCCATTAATGAAAAACATTCATGAATGCACTTATATATAAGTATATACTATAAAATTAAAATACATTTATTTTAAATGTATAGCATATTTTTTAATAAGGCAACAACATATGATAGATCCAATACAGTGCGGCACGAAGCACTTACAATATGCGCATCCGGTGTGCAGAATGATGCGCTTTTTCATTTTGGGTTGGAGTAACCCTTTAAGCTATCGTATGGCTTCAGAAGTAACACAGAATAATACACACAATCTCGGATTTGGATCGGCCCTCTCTGACCGATACCCGATCCGACAAAAAAATGGCAGTATCGGAGCCGATACCCGATATGAATATCGGATCGGCGCATCCCTACCTGTGTTCATAGATTATACTGTACAAAAATAATATATGGTAAAACTTTAGTATAGGGACCAATTCTCACTATTAACTAGTTGCTTATTAGCATGCAGTGTGTGTACACAACCACCCTATAATGATAAAAATCCACCGGCTCCTTTTTTTAATCCCCATAAATCATAAGCAGCATCTCAGAACAAGCCGTTTGCAGAATCAGTAAAACGTGACGTCACATTTTACAAGCCCCACCCACGATTGTTGACGGACACTGCTGTATTAGCCAAGACGCTGTCCTGAGTGAGCCGCACAATATCCGTCATGCTTATCTTCACGCTAACATTTAAAAGCAGCATTCAAGTAAGAAATGCCTTCTTATTAAAGCTATAGACTTTATTCAGTCCTGCAGAGCAGTGAGATGTTTTCTGCTTTTATTTTATTGTTCAGGTCATATTATCAGCATAGACAGCAGCATAGGTACTGTATATTATGCTGCTGTCACTTAATACACAGATCTAATCTAAACATGCAATTTCTGACCCAGCTGTTTACCTTCACAGACATAACCGACCGTTTTTGTAACTTATGTGTGTTTTTAACACAAAGTTGTGTGTATTTTGCAGTCTAAGCACAATAAGACATGAAAGAACTTAGTTTAGTACTCACATGCCGTGTGACAGCCATTTTCTGTGCATATGCTTTGGATGTTTGTGCTCAGAAAACCATATATCAGAAGTTTAAACTGATATAGCTTTAAAACTCATCTGTGGGGTATTTTGAGCTGATACTTCACAGAAACATTCCAGGGACACCTGAGACTTATATTACATCTTGTAAAAAAGGGCATAATAGGTGACCTTTAAAATAAAGTGTGACAGAATATAATTAAGTTTATCGCAAAATATTCCAGTATATAGCCAACACTAAAATTAAACACTAAGTTGGGGCCAGTAAGATTTAAGAAAAGCAAAGATGCATTCATTTACGAATGCACCGATATATTATTTATCGGCTGATTTTTGATTATTTTAAAGCCATCAGCATATCGGAAACAGCATGAAAAGGGCCGAAACCGATGGTTTATAAATTAAATGCATGGAGACAATGAGTTGCATGTCTTTTGCATAATCCAACGTTTTTCTCTGGGCAAAATAATTAAATACTAATTATTAAATTATTAAAATACCTATGCAATTGACGCTGATGCATCTAACGAGTGAAACGCCCACGCTCAGCTGTAAATTCATCATAGGTAAGTCACAATGGCAATGCCCCGGCGTTAGTTTATCCGAGGATGTCACGAACCAACAAGCATTAGGCCTACATTTAAGTGAAAATGAACGGCAGGTAATATGCAGCTTTTTGTGTGTTTGAAACCAGCAAAAATGGCAGGATAGTGTAGAACACGGATTCACACAAGGTCACATCACGCACCTGCAGCGCTTCTGTGAACGGAGAAAACAGAATAAAACTATATAGGCTACATAAAAAGGAATATATAGGCCTATACACAAAATATATTTCACTTAAGTCATTAACAGATTAACAAAACGAAAGAAAAAATTGTGCTGAGTTTCGGATAATTGTAACGCGCTGCGAAGTTCACGAAAAGGAAACCGAGACAGCAGAAAGCCGTTTTCTTTATTTTGCAAAAGCTTTACAGTTTTGAATGATGTTTTGCTTCTACCTGTATGATCAACCAGCGTTGGTATGACCATAAGTTACAGAGTAACAGTTGGGAAAACAATGCAGTGATCGCGTCGGCGACCCACACGCGCATAGCCTACAACATATTTTTGCTAACCTGACATCGCAGTCTGTTCATTACCAAAATAAAATACAGTTAAAGAAACATAAAAAGTTACACTACTCATAAATAGTCCGTAGTACAGTGCCATTCAGTGTGACCAGCGCGCGCCTCACTGCTGATATAGCATATGTGAAGGAGGATGTTTTACGTCGATAATGCGAGTGAAGAACAAAGCCTATAGTTTACATAATAAATAATATTTTAGCATCCAGATATGTCGCGAATATGGAAACATTTGGATTCGTGCAGAATGAGAGAGGTAGGCTTCAGTTTCGCTTTTAAATTAATTTGTTTTGGCTTGAAAATCGCCTGAACTTTAGAGGATGTGTTGTGGAGAGAAGGGAACTAAAATAGCCTACTTGTGTTTGTAATTTTGCTTTATTTCCCGGTATTTTTCCCTACATTATTTCTGAATGTAATAATAAAATGCGACTTACAGCCTACTAATTTAGGCTGCTTTTTCCTCTCAAAACTCTTATAGGAGTAGTGTTTTTTTTAAAAATCCATGCTGCAAACATTTTTAAATATCTTGAAAAAATACTTTAATGTCTTTAAAGCGTTGACAGTATTTTCTTTTGTTTAATACATTTGGTCCAAATCTAGAAAAGATTATGCTGTATTGGCTATGACTAAGCGCAAGTACCAGATCAAGACTCTCTTCGTGATTTTTTTCTTTTTGAGTAAAGAAAATGCTGTACTTTATTATTATTATTATTGGCAAAGAAAAAGTAAAAAAAAATAAAGTTATTAACCGGTATTTTTTCTACTCAAACCGGATTCTGAATGGTAATAATACAGAGGAACGCAGGAACAGAAACGTTCAAATACCGATTCTGTTCGGAGTGAACCGATCTGGGTTTTTTGCGGGTTTTTTTTAGGCCCTGCTTTATGCAATTGACTAATATCCGTATCGGAATCGGCCAATAGTTGTTTGCTAAAATCGGTATCGTATCGGCCAAAAAAAAAAAAATCCTATCACTGCATCCCTACATTCAATTGATCAAAAATGACATTAAAGACATTTATAATGTTACAAAAACATCTATTTAAATAAATGGTGTTCTATCTAACTTACTATTCATCAGATAAAAATGTATTCGTTTCCATAAAATATGAAGCAGAACTGTTTCCAACACTGATAATATAAAATGTTTCTTAAGCACCAACTTACATTTCAAAATATCATAAAACAAAGAAAATGGTTAAAAATTGTAATAGTATTTGATGATATTGCTCTTTGATATGATGATATTGATACTGTATTTTTGATCAAATAAATGGAACCTTGGTGAGGGCAAGCAACTTCTTTCAAGAAAATTAAAAAATCTTACTGAACCCCAAATTTTAAATGGTAGTGTATATCACACAGATTTGTGGATACAGAAAGTATTATCATCACTTCACAATCTTAGAGCATATGGTATGCCTATATGGATAAAATTAATAATGAACCCAGCTAATGTGCTACATAGCCTACATCTGTCCAGTCTCTTCAACATACAGTGTCACAGGAATTGCACAGGGGTATACAGTGAATCAAAGCTGACAGGAAATCTCAGGGACCAAAAACCTAACACTGTCCACCACAATCCTCAATCTAATCCTGTCAAAATAGAAAAACAACAACTGGAAAACTGGTATAAAACAGTCCCCAGTCCCCATCTACCTGCCAAAATCCCTTCCTGTAAGCATAATTACTGTTTGCCATGTGACAGGCTCATTAATATCAACTCTGGCATCAAACAAAGGCTTCAGAGTGCACTGCACAGCCAACCTGTTCAAAACGCGACAGCTCCCAGCTTGGCATCCTAATGAACTTCTGAATTTACATTTTAAACAACAGAAACTCCTACAACAACTGCTTTTCATCCACTGACAAGTGTGCTCATTTTAGCGCAAGAAAACACACACATATGGCACGTTACTTGAAGCAGGCAGAAATGAGCTAAAAGACATGCAACTGAACGAAAACCGAACAGAATGATTTGAGAAGAGATGATAAGAAATTTCATCTGTGTCAACTTCTGTGTCATTATTAACACTGCTAAACCCAAATCTTAGCCTCAAATAAAAAAAAAAAAACTGCAGGGAGTGAACTGAAGAGTAAGCGTTCTCTGTTTGAAGACTTAACAAGAGGCACAGTGTGTGAATGTCTGGGCAAAGTCCAAGTGCTTGAACTAAGAAGCAGCTAATGAGAAGAGCTCATTAAAACTGGGTGTGCAGGACAGGCTAAGGAAAGATTAAATGTGTTTAATGAATTCTTGCTTTTCTTTTCTTCCTATCATCTTTCCTCCAATGGCATCCTGCTTTAGCCACCTCCAGTTGCTAAACGGCCAATTAAAAACATGTTCTTGAAGTATTAAGCTTCAGCACACTGTATGGCTGGGGTGATGATGACTCTTGTGCACTTTTTTGAAAAACAATTGCCTTTATTTATTTCCATGATAAGATTTTGGTTGGGTGGGATTTGGTTCACTTCCTGCAGTTTTTGAACTCTTTTAGTTTCTTTTCAGTTGCAGGATTCTCTCAAAGTATGTAACTGTAAAAGATTTCTGACATTTTAATTGCCATCATTCTTCATATTTACAACAAGAAATCATGCATGTTTTGTGAGAGACAGAGAAAGCGCACACCAGGAGACTGTATAATATAGAACATCTGCCAGCTTAATGTGCAGTCAGTGATCTGTAGTGTAGCTGATATTTCAAACATGTATCTTTTGTATGTTCTTTGGAAATACACTGACGATATACTATGTTTTAGACTTGCTCCTTTCACTCGGAAATACGCAGAGGACAAGCGGCAAGCCGGTAACGTCAAGATGATGTGTGAACGACAAAGCAGTTGCTCGTACAGAAAACACGAGTCCTCTGACAGTGGGTGCGGGTGGTTTCGTCTCAGTCGGTGGCTCTGATCTACTTCCTTTGCTCTCTTGCTCTGACAGGTTGAGACAGAAAGAGAGAGCTGTCCTCTTTTCTGACATCAACGCTCTTCTATTGAGCTCATTTGTTCAGTGGGATGTCAGCAATTGCGGTTGAGAGACTTAATGAGAAGCGTGGTAGAGAGAAGAAACAGAGAGAAGGAATCTTTCTTTCTTCAAGCATTCCCAAAAGACAAACTGCAAAAAAACGTGCACTGAATAGAACACAGTTACAGAGTATGTGAATGTTGTGGAAGAGCACAGATGTTGCTTATTTTTGGCTGTAACTATAGCTTTTATGTGGAAAAATAAGCCATTACAGCGGACAGACGCATAATTGGTTTCATAATAAAAGTAATAATTTAATAATTTGTGCCTGAAGCACTAAACTAAACATTATAACTATAACTAAATATTATTTCTAATAATGTATATACAGTATCTCACAGAAGTGAGTATACCCCTCACATTTTTGTAAATATTTTATTATATCTTTTCATGTGACAACACTGAAGAAATGACACTTTGCTACAATGTAAAGTAGTGAGTGTACAGCTTGTGTAACAGTGTAAATTTGCTGTCCCCTCAAAATA